TGACGTAAAAATTGGTGATTTGGTCAATTGCAAGTAGGAAAGCTTTAGTCTACAGGACAATATGGCTGGCTTATCAGATGGATAGAACAATGGCAAATGAAATTTAATACTGAGAATTGTGAGGTGATGGATTTTGGAAGGCGTAAAAAAGTAATAAAGTACATGATGAATGGTAGGGCCTTAAGAAGTATAGACAATCAGACAGGCATTGGTTTGCATGTCCACTGATCCTTGAAGGCAACAGGACAAGTGTTCCCGGGAAGGGTCACTGCACCCGAAATGTTAAATCCGATTTCTTTCCACAAATGCTGCCAGACCTGCTGAGCTTTTCCATCAATTTCTGTTTTAATTTATTTCCAGCATCCGCAGTTCTTTTGGTTTTTATTTAGGGCAAGTGGATAAATTGGTTAGGAAGGCAGATGGGATGCTTGCCTTTACGAGTTTACGTACTGAATACCAGAGTACAGAGGTTATGATGGAGCTGTCTAAAATGTTGGTTTGACCACAGTTTGAGTACTGTGGACAGTTTTGATTGGCAAACTATAGGAAGGATATGATTGCAGTGGAGGACATTCACTATGATTCTACTTGGGCTGGAACATTTTAGGTCTGATGACAAACTAGACAGGCTAAGGTTGCTTTCCTCAAAGCAGAGAAGTCTGAGTGGGTAACTGATTGAGGTGTATAAACTTGAGGTGCATAAATACAGTGGACAAGAGCATTTTCTCCCCTTAGTGGAGAGATCATTAACAAAGGGACATATATTTAAGGTAAAGAGAAAAATGTTTGAAGGGATTTAAGGACTTTTTTCATCTAGAGGGTTTTGGATATCTAGAACTCACTGCCTCAAAGGATGGTAGATGCAGAAACCATCACAGCCTGTAAGAAACATTCAGATGATCACTTAAAATGCCGTAGCATACAAAGATATGAGGCAAGAGATGGAAAATGGGACTGGAGTAGATAGGTGCTTGATGAACAGTGTAGAAATCATGAGCCAGAGTGCCTCTTTTTGTGCTGTAAAACTTTATGACTCTATGATTTGGTTCATTGTTTTATTACTGGTAGTTGGGTTTTAAACTCAAAATAATAGATTGCTTTTTAACGTGCAGTTTGAGAGGGTACATTCATTTTAAATTAAACTAGTGTTGTTTGGTGTTAAATACAAGTGTATAAAACATTGTATAAACAGGTCAAAGTTATCAACAGGTACATCTTGGTTTGCAAATGTATAAGCGGAAGTTACACTGCCTGAATGCACCGTAGTATCAAATAAAACCTACTCAAATTTAATTCAAATTCTAAGAGGTCACCTGTTCTTTGATGCAGTAATGCAATTTTAAACTTGTACCTCAAGGATAATAATCCGCATATTAGCCATTCTTATTGATATTTACACCTTCTTCCTCCATGACTGACAAATTCATTCCAGATGCTGCGATCCTTTTTTATTTTGTTTCATTGATTGCTTGATTTTAGTGATCTAGAGTAGATCCAGGACATTTTTAAGGACACATTAGCTTTATTAATAACGTGCAAAACTCCAAAAATAATGTACACATTCTAATGCTTATTTCCAACTGCGCAGTAATTATCAATTTTTTACATAAATAGAAAAAAAACCTGACTCAAAAAGTCAGCACCGTCCAATGAATGTGCCTTTAAAGCCACAAGTCAATACTTGATTCTTACTAAATACTTTAAGCAGTTGTATTTTAAATTGAAGTCAGTTAATTTTTTATAATCTGATCATATGAAGATATGAGCAAAATTTAAAGAAGGACGAATAGGACAATAGTTTACATTCTTTGACAAAAGAAGTTTTTGTTTAAAGTTACATACTATATTTCCATTAAGTGGAATTATGGTTCCAAACATAACCCGTTTGTTTCCGTAATAAAAACCGAAAGAATAGCGGACGCTGTAAATCAGGAACAAAACCAGAAGTTGCTGGAAACGCTCAGGAGGTCTGGCAGCATCTGTGAAGAAAAAATCAGACTTAACGTTTCGGGTCCGGTGACCCTTCCGCAGAACTGTTCTTGTTTTTGTTCCGTCTGTTTCCGTGCTGCATGATTCTATGAACGTATAACCCGGTGGCACTAGCACAACATTGTATGTCTCTGTTAACTTCAGGTTTTTCTGATTTACCAAAATGTAATTATACTGAAAGGTGCATTAATACTAGCGATTTGTGTCAGGAGCAACATTTGTTATAGTTGAAGGCGCATGCAATTGTGTGTTTTTTTTAAATCGCCTGTCTTTCATCTCACCTATTGTCTGGCTTTCAGTTTCCGTGATGATTACTTTGATCTAGTTGTTTCAGAATAGACTCATGTGTTAACAGGAACAGGCAGGAAAAGTAAGACAAATGTAATAAATTCAACCCTGGCACACACCACAGGGAGATCTTTACTTCCATTTGATTCTCTGCAGTCCCGTTCATAAATCTCTCCTGTACAATTCAGTAGACTGCGAAATCCTGGAGGAGTTCACGTTCTGAACATCCTAATTATACAGACGTTACTAACTGCACAATAAAATGGGCTTTTAAAAAATAATAAAATTGCCATTTGGTATTGTCCTGTCATCTCCATTGATGTGTTGCTGATTTTGCTACCATCTGGTGGCTATATAAGGACATGCCACACAGAAAAGCTTCTTCTTACCCCCTATAGACATACATGTTAAAATGGTTAATGATGCCACTTAAATACCTTCTCTATTGGGATTGATATTAATAGGACTGATACCAATATGTGACTAATAAATGTATCTTGTCATGTAGTTACATGAAATTACAGTGATTTGTGGCATCCATTTTTGTATCACTGATACAAAAGCAAAGCACTGTAGTTGTTGGAAATCTGTAGTTAAATTAATGAATGCTTAAAATACTTGGCAACCATAGAGAAAATCTGTTTTGGTCAAGATAAATATTGAACAGAGCATTCTCAGACTCCACACAAAAAAAATGACATTTTTGACTGCTGTCCTTCTGGATCACCAGTAAAATTAATCAGCGAGTGCACAAGGCATGTATTGCCAAGTTGTCTCCATGTATATCTGTCAGGGTTTTATTCACTGGAACCCCAACTTTCAAACTAAAAAATAGTTTATTACATGAAGCAGGCAGGTGTGTTACCTGCCCAATGGTCAGTCTCTTAAAAAAAATGGTAACAGTTGGATAATGGGCTCAGGGGCTGATAAGTTTCCGGACCACATTTTGTGTAATTTCATTACTTGTAAAGGTTGATTGGGACAATTTGAAATCTGTCCCACCTTCAGTGGCATCTCTATCTAGAATGGGGAAGAGCAGAACATGCATGGGCATAATCCATCTAATTTATTCTTAAAATGATAATTGATATCTTATATATATGCTTGTTCACACCTATGTTAAATCAGAAAGTTGTTGAAATATTTAACAAAAGAAGTTCTAATGTATAGTGTGGCAAATTACTTGCTAAGGAAACAGTAAAGAATTTTAAAAATTAATCATAATAATTATTCAGGAGATTTAAAGCCTTTCCTTAATCTCTTATCATTTGTTGTTCGAGACGAATTTCTAACATTGGTACCATCTCTTCGATGTTTTCCTAAGCAACCTGTTCAGAAATGTTATTACACACCTCTGGAACAGGTGGAGCTTAAACTTGGGCCTCCTGGTCCTGATGTAGGGACAATAATTGATCAGGGTTCAATGACACCTTTATCAGGTATTTTTTATAAAAATATATCTTTACATAGGTGTTTTTAAGCTCATCATTATTTCACTGGACGGGCATCTGATTTGCAATGTCTATCTATTCAATGCTTAACTTAGAGGTACAGAATATCGCAGTCCTCTACTTGTTGTTCTTTTTCTTTCATTATTAGGCCATAAGACGATAGGTGCTCTGAGAATTTTAGGAAGATAGCATTGACACTACCCTGTGGCTGCACTAATTTTCCAATTTTTCTACATTAAAACATTACTGTATGAAGGAACAAATATAAAATTTCATCTGAAATATCCTTATCCACTTGATTGAGAAATGAATCAATAAGTTTGAAATTGAGCAATTCCAACAAGTAATGTCTCAGATTTGATTCTTAGTCCATGCTGAGTTAGTTGATCTCAGCCAGGGCAATCCCTCATGCCTCGTTCAGTCTCCCTGGGTAATGCAAGAGAGAGAACAAAGTAACTGACATTCCTTTTCCCAATCATTAAAAAAAAGATGATGACAAGAGAGGATGGTTATGCCTCTGATGCTGTCACAGTCAAATAGCCTGTCTCAGATCAGATATGGTGAACAGCAATTTGACCAAAGTACTGATGTGTAGTCGGCTCCATGTAACCACACTACAGCTTGAATCAGTACTTTCCAGTGACAAGCGGGAAGAATTCATTGAAATTTATTTCAATATCTTTCAAAATATACTAGTAAAATATAGTATATAACAAATGAACCCTTTGGTAACAAGACTGACAATGTGAAAAACATACTGTCTGTGATTAATAGCTGGTTAAACAATAATGAAGCATGTTTCTAGAACTAGAGTGAAATTAATGATGCTGCTCTCATTCAAAAGTAGTAGAATTTCACTGCATAACACTCGATGACAAGTATTTTTGTAGCAATAAAGTGCTTCTTGGAAATCAGTAGGGAATGATGAGGATCATAAAAATGAGATGAAAGCACTTTCTTTTTCTGTATGATGCTATGTTAGTTCTGATTCCACTAATCTCCATTCCTAATCCCAACACTAAACTTCAGGGGAAGAGATTTCAGCACCCAAGTTTTTGCAGTCTATTTTGTATTCCAAGGGTAACAAAAGAATGAAATGAAGTTTGATGCAATAATAATTTATATCTGTTTCTAAACTTCAGAACAAACCTTTTGTCAGACTAATTATTAACAGATTGATTGATTGGGTATTGCAAGAAGATCGATAGTCATGAATATTCTGCACTGTGACAAATTTGATCTGAGGGCATCAAAATCTTGTTTCTTTTTCAGGAAAAACTGGACCACTTCTTGGGTTTGCCTCGAGGGAAACAAAATTGAATTCTACAAAGAACGCAAGCAACAAACTTTTGCCAGTTTGGTAAGATCTCCTAAAGATATCTGTTGTGACATCTTGTTAAAGTGAGACCTGCACTTGACGTGCAGCCTTTGATCTGCAGCTAAATGTCTCATGCTGTCTGCTAGTCAGTTTGAAGGTGGGATACGAATAGCTGCAGTTGGGGAATAAAAGCAAGCCTTAAGGAAGACACAAAACCACTGATTTTCTTTCTCAAGCACTCGGCATTAATAACTAACTGTGACAGACGTGGGTAAAAATATCAAGGATTTTGACTGTATGACAGCAGTTGTTACCTTGCAGCTGAAAGATGCTCAGGGAAAAGCAAGATGCGCACCTCCATGTGGGATCAAGGCCGGGGAGCAGACAGTGACACAGTGTCTGCAGAAGATAGCTGCTTTTGATGATAGCCCACTGCTAAGTGCTCTCAAGGGTGGGTAGGACCTGCCAGACCTTATTGAAATGATGTGCGGCTGGGAAGGTGTACTCTGTGCAGGAGTCAAAATGAATAAACTCTTTTGATGTAGCAGTTAACGAAAATCCATTACCCCGATTGTCATGCAAGCATTTTGGCAGCTTGTAATATGTGATTCCCATATTAATTCTGACAAAATGACCAAGATATATATCGAAGAAATTGAAATATTAAGCGCTACAGGAAAGGCAATCTGTAACCCATAGCCTTACACTTGAACTTAATAGCCAAAAGTGAAATCCTTCCTAAAGCAGTTGACCACTGTAAACAAAGGGTGAGTACATCCGTAAGCCTACTACTCTTTATGCAAATTTAGTAAGCACACAAGATTTTAAAAAAAATTAACCATCTGGATTATGTGCAGTTCTTTTTTAAATTATACATATCCCTTAAAATAATCCATAACAACATAACCATTTGGATCTGTTAATCTAATCACTTTAAAGGAGCCAAAGTACATTATTATATATGGAAAACCAGATAGTACATTTTGTGCATGTGTTGATGCCGGTCCTTAAAAATTATGCTTATATTTTGCCATTATTTACTTTGAGGCCTGTGCTTTGCATCAATAAATCCTTTTGGAGAATCTGTTATGAGATGGCATTAAGAAGAGTTTCCACTTTAAGAACAATTGGCAATGTGGGCCTCAATTGTAGTCATTTTCTGAAGTGAAGCTATGATCCAAGTTTTCACTCAAATACATTTAGACAATCACGACATAAAATCTCCTATGAGCAAGTGCAATTAGGCAGTGCAATGGAAAGCAACCTTTTTTGCATGAAAAAATGCAGATGTTTTTGCAATGGGTAAACTGAAGAAATTTTACGAATGCAGCTGCAAGTGTCTCTGCAAAAATTAATATTTTTGAAAGTGTCTCATCCACTCTGATTTTAAATAGCTGAAAATGACTCTGAAACATGAAAGCTTGAAAAATTAAATTTTAAAAATGTGTGTTAGTGCTTTTGCACTTAAACAAATACTTACTGAGTTATATTTAAGGCAGAGATAGATAGGTTCTTGATTAGTCAGGGGATGAATGGCTACAGGGAGAAGGCAAGAGAATGGGTTTGAGAAACGTAGCCATGATTGAATGGTGGAGCAGACTGAATGAATGGGCCAAATTGCCTAATTTTGCTCCATATTTTATGGTTTTATGGTCTAATTTGAAGTTCATTCTCACGATGACAAATGGGTGCATTGAACTGCAATTGTACTGCGTCTGTTTAAGAAGGTAGCTCACCGCCACCTTCTCAAAGGCAACTCAAGATGGGTAATAAATTCTGGCCCAGTCAGTGATACCCACATTCTGTGGATGAATATTTTAAAAGTTAATGGAACATTGATCTGCTCATGACCAAAAACAAAGTTGTTGAAAACGCTCAGCAAGTCTGGCAGACTGAAACAAAAACAAGAATAGTTCTGAGGAACGGTCACTGGACCCAAAACGTTAACTCTGTTTTTTCCTTCACAGATGCTGCCAGACCTGCTGAGCTTTTCCAGCCACTTTGTTTTTGTTCCTGATTTACAGCATCCGCAGTTCTTTCGGTTTTTATATTGTTCTGCTCATTACTTCTTGAGGCATAGGGATTTTTGTGGCTGGGGCTGTTTTCCAGTGGAATTTGTTTTCAAACCAGAGTTAAATAGCATGGTGATTTGATTTATGTCCAACATTTAAACTCTAGGTCTACATGTATATCAGGACCTTATTAAGAGTATTTCATGGAAACAAATAATGTTCAAAACATTGACAACTTCTTGTTTTCCTTGCAGTTGTGGAGAGATGAATTTGTTAGTAACATTTAATGTAACTTTTAGTGACATTTCAATTCTTGGATCCATTTACCATTTTAAATTTTAAAAATTGCAGTGAGAGAAGAGATCAGCCTTTTCAGACATTAGGGAATTTTTCAAGGAAATAACTGTGTGCATTTTATTTCAGTAATTTTGCTACCATTAGAATGGGAAAGAGTGAGCCTTAGTGGTAGCATTTCTTTATTTTTGTCAGAAGTTTCAGGTCTTAAAAATCCCAGGGAGGAGAGGCTCAGGGTGAAATACATTATTACTGGGGATTTCAGTTGGGGTGACGAGGTTCTAAAGCATATTAAGATTAATAAGGAGGAGTATTACATGATTTAGCGGGCATAAAGGTGCATAAACCGCGCCCCCCCACCCAAGTCCTGATAAGCTGTATTCTAGGCTAGGTAGGGAGATAAAGAAGGAAATTGCTGGAGCCCTGGCACAGATATTTAATATTTTGCTAGCCAGAGATGAAGGGCCAGATGACTGGAGGATAGCTAATGCAATTCCTTTGTTCAAGAAGAAGGGCAACACGGATAGGCCAGGTAATTGCAGACCAGTTATTCTGACATCAGTATTAGGGAAATTATTGGAAAAATTTTTGAGGAACAATGGCAGATGGAATTTTATCTTGATAAGTGCATTTTGGGAGATCTAATAGGGGAAGTATATACACAAGGAATGGTAGGTCTTTTGGAGTACTGAGGAATAAAGGGACCTCTATGTGTATAACTCCATAGATCCCTGAAGGTGTCAGCACAGGTAGGTACTGAGGCGAGGAAGGCATACTTGCCATCATTATCCAAGGCATAGGATATAGGAGCAACTTTATAAAACATTGGCTAGGCCACAGGTGGAATACTGTGTGCAGTTCTGGTCAGCACACTATTGGAAAGATGTGATCGCACCAGAGAGGGTGCAGAGGAGATTCACCAGAATGTTGTCTGGGATGAAAAGTCTTAGTTACGAGGAAAGACTGGATAGGCTGAGTTTGTTTTCTGTGGAGCGAGGGAGGTTGGTGGGTGATCTGATTGAGATATACAAAATCATGAGAAGCACAGATAGGATAGATCGTGAGAACCTTTTGCCCATGGCATATGTCTAAGACCAGAATGCACAAGTATTGGGTGAGGAGTAAATGGTTGAGAAGAGATCTGAGGAAGAAATGTTTCACCCGGAGGATGGTTGAAATATGGAATGTGCTGGCTGAGAAGTTGGTGGAGGCAGGTACACACACAACGTTTCAGAAGCATCTGGATGAGCACTTAAAATGCCAGAGCATTGAAGGCTATACACCAAGTGCATCAAAATGGAATTAGTGTAGTTTATTGTTGGTCTTCTTAGACATGGTGGGTTGAAGGGCCAGTTTCTATGCTGTATGACTCTCTGTAACTAGGTCGGGCAGCAATGGGTGAATTCCAGGTTTAAATGCAGAGGAGTACTGACATCTGATGGGTGGCAGTTCCTCAGCGTATGGATAATGGGCACCTATAAAACCTTACTGCCATGTAGGGCAGGGCACCTTTTCAGCTGCTATATAGTTAGCTGCAGCCATGGAAGGCGCATTCACATTTCAGGCAGTCAGACTGTTAATTAGGGAATGACTCCTGTCACTGCTTCACACCATTCTCCAAGGGAAGAGTGTGAAGATATGAATACTACAACAGCTACTACTGGAGATTCACAGACCAAGGGAAAAGCTATCAATTTAAAATACGAAAGTCGTTGCAGACTGCTTGACATGCGGCTCAGAATCAGCATCAAGACAAGATCAAAACTATATATATAAAACACATATTGTGCTACTATACTACTGGGCTCCAGTCATGCATTTTTTTTAATCGAAAGTCACATTTTCCATTTTATCAATTTTTTAGAACATTCCATATAAAGTGAAAAAACAATGAAACTAGAACAACAAAATATTTAATGTGCTGAATTATGCAAATGACATGGGGAAAAAACAAAAATGTACACATTCAGATATAATTTAATGCATTTCCATCATTAAAATTGAATCTGGGATGTTAAAATGAAAGATTGTATCTACTTGAGGAAACGTTTGAGAACATTTCGTTTTCATCAAACAATGCTTTGGCATCAGTAAATATTTCGACAAAAATCGAATGAACTCGGACAAAGAATAATAGTTTTAAGTTAAATATTTTAGATATTCCAACTTGACTTTTTCAAATTGAGAAAGCGTGCATGATGCAAGATGATTTGGCCAGGAAGATGAAATAAGTTATCAGACTTTAAAGATTTTGCTAACCATCGTTACATTTTGGCCCAGGGAAATTCTGAAGCAGTCACTATCGAGTACCAGCCTCAAACCTACATTGTCACAAGTGCTTGAGTCCCTCTCACAGCACTGGTCATTGCAAATACTCAGTCATTCATGTTATGGCAGGATTACATCTCACCTGCAGTGAGAGAGCAAAAATGGTACTACTTGGAATCTTATGACTGTGATGGCTGCTTCAATTGCTGGGCAGAGAGCCAACAAGGCTCCTGTGTTGCTGTTTTTTGAGGAGGAATGTTGCATCTTGTGTCACTCTGGCACTCAACAAGTCAAGTATTCAGTCAAGATCAAAGATCGTGGGGAACACAACTCCTGCTCATCAAGAGCTGCTGGCTGACCAGAGGCATTAATTGTCCACTTAAGGGCCTCAATTGGTAACCAGGCAGGAAAGCTGCCCACAAATCTGAACCTCTACCCCTGAACTGAAGAGCTTGCGTTGAAGTTCCA